TTACAGTAACATAACGAAGTAGGGACTAGAGTTATGCCCATTTTACACATGAGGAGACTGAGGGCACAGAAAGGCAAAATAATTTGCCTAAGGTTACACGCTAGAAAAGGGCAGAACTGGAATTCAGAATCAAGAGAGACTGTAGATCCCTTTTTCTTAATGGCTTTGCTATGCTGTCTCTCAGACAAGAAAAACAAGGCAATAAACAGTGAACAGAATAGATTCAGGTAGTGTTCAGCAGTAGTATGAAAACATAAAACAGGGTGATGTGACGGTGTCTGTTAGAAGGAGTGCAGATGGAGATGTCAGGGAAAAACTTCACTAAGAAGCTAGCATTTGAGGGTTAAAGGACAGTAATACAGTAATCTTGGGACATGGGCAACAGAGAAAAGCTTGCACAAAGGCCTTAAAACAAAAGGAAACTTGCCTTGTTTTGTGAAATAGAAATGCCTACTTGACTGCATTTAGAGCTTAGTATCTTGAAGAGTGACTGATTAGAAATGAAGTCAGGGAAATAGGTAGGAGCCAGACGGCAGGGGGCCTCAGGTCACATTAAGAAATGTGATTTTTATTCTAAGTACACTGGAATTTTATGCAGGAAGGTAATACCATTACTAATTAATTTTATTTTAAAAGATCACTCTCACAGATGTATTTAAAATTGACTATAGGACAAAAAAGGAAGTAGGAAAATCCATTAGGAGGTATTAACAATTACGATCCAGGTGGGACAAGGGTGGTGGCAGTGGAATGAAATTTAGGGTAAAATTTGAAAGTAGAATTGGCAAGATCTGCAAATGAACAGGATATGAAAAGTAAAAGAAAAGGAATTTAAGTAGGTGCCCTGGGATTTTGGGTTGAGTGACTAGTATGATGACAGTGTCCTTTACAAGATGTGTAGTAAGACTGGGGAAGGAATACTTTCAGTAACAAAAAAAATCGAGATTTTCATCTTGAACTTTATGGGGGAAGGGGCTTTTTCTAGTTTTCTTTTTTCATTTAAAAGTTTCAAGGAAAGAATTAAGGGAAAACAGCATTTAAATGTTCGATTTTGTAAGCTCCTTACATTTGAAACTAAATTCGGTAAACTGAATTTTCATTTAAAAAATATTTATTGAGCATCTACTATGTGCCAAGATCTATGTGATGAGATACCAAGACAAACTGAGCAAACAAGATCCCTGGTCTCAGAGTGCTCTTTTTAGGGGAGGGAGGTGGGAGGAGAGACAGTTGGTGGCTTTTTTTCTTTTTCCTTGTCTTATTAAAACTTCACCTAACGCTTGAGTAGCCATCTTAATAATTCTATCTCCTGCTCCTGGCAGTTGGGCCCACCGTTCTAAACGCTCATACTGACATCTTCCCTCCCAGTAGAACTTACGCTTTTTTAAAAATAAAAACTTTAACAAACAATACGAATACAACCTATGCTTTGAAGTCTAATATTTTTGCAGGAATGGTACCTTTATAAAGATCGTGGTTGCCCTCGTACATATTTGTTCTTTCTTCATATCCAATTAAATGAAAACACTAGTTTTTCCGTAGCCCAACTCCCTAGGCTTGTTGGGTCTAGCACAGGAGAAAGGATGGAAGCAGGAGCCGTTGAATTTAAACAGTTTGGTGTAATCCTTTTCCACGCTCTCTCCCGCTAGCCGGGAACGTGGTGTCGGCTACCCGGGGCTTTCCGTCCACGCGGTACCAGAATGATGGAGTCTGGAAGGGGGTCGGGGAAGGAAAAGACGGAAGAGACATTAAGTAATTGGTTCTTGAAGGTATAAAATGATGTTTAGGGTCTACTCTAAGGCACTGATTTCAAACGCCCGCCCCCTGGGCCGTTTCAGCCCCGCCCCTTATTGTCGTCACGCCGACTTCCACTTTGGCCTCTGCGGATTGGCAGTTGCCTTTGAGGTGAGGCTAAAACGCTTGGGTTTTGCTTCCGGGTCTTGGGCTTTAGCCCTGTGCGCAGGGGCTTCTGGGAGCCAAGAGTCCTAACTTGCTTCTGTATGATCTTCGGAGGCTGCTGCATCGGACCTCGGCCAAAGTGAGCTTCGGGAGGATAGCAGACTATCTTCCTTATCTGAGTGGGACGAGAAAGGGCGGTTGGGGTCGGAGTTGTCGGCAGAGTACCGAGCGCGGGAGGAGGCTCCGGAGCAGCGGGCCAGCGGCGGCCCCAGTGCCTATCGGGCTCGCCCGCAGCTCTCAGGCCCGCGGCAGAAAGCGCACAGTGAAGGTAGCACTACCTGCTGCATTAAGCGAGCACCAGCTCTCACTTCCCCTCCCGCCCCGTCGGGCACTGGTGAGGAGTCAGTGATAGCCCAAAGACGGGCTCCTAGGAGGCTGGAATGATAATCCCAGAGGTGTGGGGGAGGCGGCGGCGCCCCCAGCTCCAGAAAACTGTTTCTCCCTCTGGATACACGCCTTTGCCCTCCTCACAAACTTGCTTTTCCGACGCTAACAGGGGTTAGTAGCCACATCTGCTAGGTAGTATTTTTAGGCTGCTCAAAGCAGAAAGTAGCATAAGGAATGAATCCCTGATTTTTGGTTGTCAGAATTCTTTGGGGTGAGATATCTGTGTTTTGAGCATTTCTTAAATTATAATCTACAAAAGATTTAATTTATATTATGATAGCTTTTGTAGGAGAAAATTGGATTGTTGATGAATTTTGTCTATGTAACACACTTTTCTGCAGGACACTCAGTAACTTTGGCAGTGATTTTTAAATGAATGTATATATATGTATCTGTAATACATGTATTGCTTTTGTTTTTACTAACCTATTTGCTGTTGTGTGAGGTTTAGATAAAATGCAGACCTTAGGGAGTGTGGTGGAGTAAGGTTGAGTTGAGAATTTTTAAAACTCAGTCATGGCAGTACTGTATTTTACCAGGGATTTAACATGAGAAGTGTCATAATTCTCATGATAATGCTATGAGGAATATCCCCACTCTACAGATGACAGAAACTTAAGCTAGTTGACTTGCCCAAGGCCACACAATCAGAAGGAGAACAAGAACAAAAACTCAGATTTTCATGACAGAATTTTTTGTACTAAAGAAGAGCTACCTGAGAAGCCATATTCCTTGTACAGCCTAAGCCTCGTAATTAGTTTTCGTGAGAACTTTTGTGTGAGAAGATTATTTAAGCAAGTTGTGGGGAATGACTTTGGGAACTTATTTCAAAAGGATGAATATTGATTAATACTTTATAAAATGAGAGTTTGTCATGTTGGAAATAACTTGATACTATTTCTCTTCAAAGCATAAAAGATGACAACAGCAGCCAGGCCAACTTTTGAACCTGCAAGAGGTGGAAGAGGAAAAGGAGAAGGTGATTTGAGCCAACTTTCAAAGCAGTATTCAAGCAGAGACCTACCCTCTCATACAAAGATAAAATACAGGTAATAAAGACTCATCTTTTTTCTTATTAACAAAACAAGCCCAAATCTGTTAATGACATGGTCATGATATAGTATCACAAGTTATCTATCTTGAGTTATGTCACTTATCTATTTTTATGGGAATAGAATGCAATCGAATGTTTAACACTAAAATTGTGTTCCACGATTTTAAAACCAGACATTCCTTCAGCAGAAATTCCTATTAACTAGGAACTTTCTTATGTAGATGGAACAGTAACTAATATATCACCTCTGCCAGGCTGAGTGGCTCATGCCTGTAATCCTAGCACTTTGGGAAGCTGAGTCAGGGGGATCGCTTGAGGCCAAGAGTTCAAAACTAATATGCTATCTCAGAGAGACTATGGGCTATCAGCAGTAGTCAGTATGACATTGAAGGAGTTACGGTAACAAGTCCTGAGTTTATACAACACAAAAAGACATTTTAATCTACAGCCTTATTATGGGAAAATATATGATTCAATTTGGACTTGTTGAAATATTAGCAACATCACAAAAGTGCCTATTAGAACCTTCAGATTAGATTGCGATCTTGTTTACTTACATGCTTAAGGAACAACGTTGCATTCCTGAATCGTCTTACATTGCTACAGGTGTGGTTTTTTTTTTTTAAGTAACATTTTTGCCCTGGTTTGTTTCTGCTTTAGACAAACTACTCAGGATGCCCCTGAAGAGGTTCGTAACCGTGACTTCAGGAGAGAGTTGGAAGAGAGAGAGAGAGCTGCTGCTAGAGAGAAAAATAGAGATCGCCCAACCCGAGGTACCAACACTGTCCCAGACATTTACCTCATAAAATTATGTCATCAATAATTTTTCTTTCATATGGTAATTGGAATATTTTCGTTTCTTTGCTTTTAAAGATTGATGTGAGCTGTAATACTTAAATGATTAGAGATGATAGTGAGGTTCATTCAGATTCCTTCTTTATATGCTTCTATATTAGAAGGAACAGAGTGACCTGGGGATATTTAGCAGTGATCATTTCAGTTAAGATCAAGGAGTTTTTGACTATTTACAGCAGCTAAGTCCCATGGTTTCTCTCTGAGATTCTGTTTTTTGTAACTGGCTGTTGGAGGGAATCTAGAGGCACTGGTTATAATATTGTTTCTAGCATATGTAAGCTATTTCCTGAATTTCTGAGCGAAGCTACAGTTCCTGTATTAAAATCAATACTTTTATTAATTCATTCAACAAATATTTACCAAAAGCTTATTTGCCAAGCACTATAGGTATGATCCCTGTTGTCATGATGCTTTTAATGTGGGCTCTTTGTGCCCACAGGTCCCTAAAACATAAGAAATACAGTATTTGTTTCAGTAAGCTAAATGGTGTTTGTTTTCCCCCAGAACATACAACCTCCTCTTCAGTGTCGAAAAAGCCTCGGTTGGACCAGATTCCTGCCGCCAACCTTGATGCGGATGACCCTCTAACAGACGTATGTTTGTTCCTTCCTTTTATCTCTATCTAATAATTTATTCACCATGTTTTTCTGAAATGCTTTTTTATGCTTTTGGTTTTAAGAAGTAACCTTTATTTATTTGTACTTATTGTTATTCACATGTAACCCTGGCCTCAATGCTAAACTTTACAGTTGATTTTAAAACAGAAAGTATTATTTCGTGGTAAGGACTTCAAGAACACATTTGATCTCTAGAGAAGGAAATATGGATGCAATCTGTTAAAGGATATGCTTCCCTCCAAAATAATTCCCTGTATTAAACCCTAGAGATTGGGCTGCCATACTGTAAACCTCCATAGAGCACTCTTCACACTGGGCTCTCTATAAACAGCAGCCTCTAGAGTTGTACCCAGGGGGCTTTCCATATTAAATATGATGCCTATGCAGACATGCAATGCACTTAATAGTTCCTTCCGTGCTTGGGAAGGGAAGTAATCTAAACAGAAGGTTTTTAAGGATTAGTATATCAGTTGACATTAAAATTCAATAGGACCCTACAGCCTATAATTAATTTGCAGTTTTCTACATACAGTACAGTGAAAAAAATCTGAGTGGCCTCCTATGGGTAGTATCTAATTTGTACATATATCAGTAGTTAATTCTGGAATTGACTCATGCAGTTACTGATAATAATTAAAACAAGAAACCCAATTTTAAGTGAGATTTAATGATTATTCATTTGAAGTTAGTTTCTTGGAATTTATCACCCTTTTTTGCATTTTTGATTATCCTTGCTAAGTTAAAGTTGTTTTGAACTACATAAACTATTTTGATTCTTAGGGTGATACATTGTATATGTGTTTTCGTATAAAGTGTTTCTTTTCTATTTTTAGAAATATTTTCATATGGAAATTACCTTTTGGACATGTAAATTTGAAAGGCACTTTGTCAGGGGTTGACATTTTAGTGAATATTTATAAACTTTAATTATGTCCCAGAGATTTGGTAAGTGCAGTTTTTATGGAAAAAAATGAATAATATATATTCTCTCTTCAATCTTCTGGACCATCACTGTTCTTTTTTTAGGAGGAAGATGAAGATTTTGAAGAAGAGAGTGATGATGATGATACTGCAGCTCTTCTTGCAGAACTGGAAAAAATTAAAAAAGAAAGAGCTGAAGAGCAGGCCAGAAAGGTAAAATCAAAGTGTTAAGTATTTACAACTCCCCATCTTCTCACACATACTAAAGTATAAATATTTTTTAATTCAAATAATATCTTATATTAGAAATTTTCCTCACCATGTTCTAAATATTATAGCATCTGTACATCTATAAATCTAATTATTTTTATAACATCCTAGGTATCCTGGTTATGTTAGAAATTCTTTCAGAATGGGTTCAGACATGCTGAATAATACTTGCTAAATTGCTAGTCATTCACTTGTTTTTCATTTGTCCAACAGACATTTAGATAATGTCTGTAGATTGTCAGAAGAATCAAAGATGATTAAGATATAGCCATGACCTACAAAGATTATCTATTTTTCTTCTGCCTAGGCACTTGTTGAGGCAATCTGTCAGTAGATTATGTAACCTAGAGCAAGTTACCTAACTTCTCTGAACACCCCCAGTCTCTCCAATTAGAGTAAAGAATATCTTTCTAACTCAAAGAGAGTTAAAACTTTGAATGAATCACCTACAGTACTGATAATAAGAGATGAAACTGAGGAGGCAAGCACAAGTCAGAGTGTTAAAGGTTTCTAAATTAATGCTTAAAAAGTCTGAATTTTGTTCTTAAGGTTAGGAGGAGTCAGTTGATTTCAGCAGGAGATTGACAGGATTGGATATGCATTTTAGAAAGATTACTCTGGTAAAAATGTGGAGGATGGATTGGGAAAAACCAGGAGGCTGTTCCAATAATCCTCACCTGCAATTAAGATCTTAACTTGTGTAATGAGTGTTGAGAGACTCAAACAGATGCTATCAAGGGGGTTGAATTGACCAGATTGTGACTGTTTGTGGCAGCAAAAAAGACCCCCAATTTCTAGGTAGATGTTGGTGCCATACACTAATACAGGGAATGCAGAAGAATGAGCATATTAAGCAGAGGGAAGATAGACATGGTAATTTCTGTTTTGAACACATCGAATTTGACACATTGTATGAGACATTCAAGTAGAGATGTCTGCCCCTATTTTCAACCACACAGCACAGCTTTTTTATGGACTTCTGTGTAAGATTTCTTTGGAGCCGAGAATTGTTCTGTTTAAAAAAAGAAGGAGGGAAAAAGACTTGGAAAAGACACTGACGTAGGTTAATGCTAGGAATTGGGGGAAGTAGAGTTCGTGTGAGTCAGAAGGGCCAGGGAAGAATTCAAAAAAGAGGAAGAATTTGGGATAGGCTTTGAAGACTGTTAGAATTCAGATTGAAAGAAAAAAAGTATTTTAAAATATAGTTCTCATCAAAGTTTGGCAAAGGAAAGCATAATTTCAATAATAGTTTATAGTTTTTATATCTAATTTTTAAAAATCGGACTTATAAGAACAAATAATTATATTCCCAATCTCACTTGTAAACCACTAGAGGGCAGTTGTTCCAAATTATTTTAGCTTTGCCTAACAGCTCTGGATATGTAATGAGACCAGCAATTTAAATGCTTCTGGTTGACCTTTAAACATTTTAGACAGAAGGTTTTGCAGAAGTTTTGTGAGTTTCACTTATTCTCTTTGTACAAAAATATATTAATGTTTCTTGAGGTTGAATGACAGTTTTGTTTCTTTTGTCCCTGTTTTCCTTTCTATTGGTTGGTTTTTGAGGTTTCCCAAAATAAGTTTTTCAAACCAATTAGTCCATGTCAGGGATTGGCACACTTTCTGTAAAAAGCCAGATAGTAAATATTTCAGGCTGGCTGGCCGGCCATACAGCCTCTGTTGCAACTACTCAGCTCTGCTGTTATGGCACGAAGGTAGCCATAGACAGTACATAAGTGAATGGGTGTGGTTATGTTCCAATAAAATTTTACTTATAAAAATGGGGTCGTTCAGATTTGAACTGAAGGCCGTCTAACCACTAGCCTATACTCATGAAGCACATTGTGCCTGGTATTTGAATACCGAAAGAGTTGGTCCCTTTTTTCACAGTGCTATGTGTGGCAATCATCCAATAACTCTAAAGGAAATAAAATTCCAAACATAAACAGGCCAAGACCTTTATATGTCACGCACATTATCATTATAAGTTTGGATACATTGTATACTTGAGCTCCTATTTTTCTGCCATTTCAGAAAAATGTCTTTTTACTTTAAGCATCAGTATAATTTGTTAAAAATAAATATATAATTTTTAGAAAGCTATCTGTTCTTAATCTATGATAGGTAGTTCCTGATTTTATTTGTCTGACCAGTGACCTACAAGAACTTTCCTGTTTATTACCTTGCATATTGCATCTTCCTACCTCCCAGTTATTGGCCCTCATAAAAATGAAATTTATGTTCACATTTAAATATTAAAATAAAATATCAATAACTGTATGAAAACTTACGGTATTAAAATAAAGGTTCATTTTAAAATGACTTTAATGCAGTCTCTTTTTCCTTTATTAAGTCATCAATTTTTGTCATCTCCAAAACACAGCAAAATGGGATTTATATTTGAGTTAAGTTAGCATAACAGGTAGATATAGACGTTATAGCTAAGGATTTTAAACATGTGATATTCCTAATTTTAAGAATGGAACTGAGGTTGAGTTTGAAGATGTCGATGCTAAAATAAAAGTGAAGAAAGACAATGTGTTAACAGATGAAGGATGAGAGGTATAAAAATAGAAAGCAAGAATAAATCATAAGAACAAAATGGATAAATGTCAGGTAAATTAGTAGTAGAAACGAATGTTCACTGAGTATTATTAAGTGAGACTTTTCTGGTATGTCTTAAAAACCAAAAAAATAAAAATATAAAAACCTTCCTTGATGTTTTTCTTCCCATAAAATCCTAACAATCTTTTTTCTTTTTTAATGAGCTAATATAAGAAAATAGATTCCAGAGTTAATATCAGTAAATGTGACTCTTCCTTTATCATGGACAGGAACAAGAGCAAAAAGCTGAAGAAGAAAGGATTCGTATGGAGAACATTCTGAGTGGGAATCCCCTCCTTAATCTCACTGGCCCATCCCAGCCTCAGGCCAACTTCAAAGTTAAAAGAAGGTACTATACAGTAATGGGTGGGTGTGTGTGTGTGTGTGCACGCGCGCAGATTATGAGTTGGATGGCAAAGTGCATTATGTAAAGTTTCTAAAACCCCACCTGCCACTGATATTCTTCTCTGTCAGATATTGGAATAATGAAAGAAGGGAAATGAAAGAAAATAAACTTATTTTTAATAGATAGTTATAATAATTAGCTGTGTACCAGATAATGATCTAAGCACTAGGGACAGACTAATGAACTGAGCCCTCGACCCTACAAGGCTCAACATTTTAAGTGTGCATGTCAGGGATCTCCAAGACCACCCATCATATTTAGAGACTCACTAAAAGAACTCAGGGGAGTTGTATATAGTTATACTCATGGCTAAGGTAATAAAGATACACAGCTAGATCGTAAGGGGAAAAGATACAAGTGGAGACTAGAAGAATCCATATGCAGGCTTCCTTATGCTCTGTCCCTCCCATGAGTGGTCACACAGAGTTCATTGTCCTCCTGACGCCCGCCCAGCAATGAAAATGTGGCAACATGTATGCCACGTTTCTGCCCAGGAAAGCCCATTAGAGCCTCAGTGCCCAAAGTTTTTGGGAGGTAGGGGGGAGTCATGCAGGCAACTTCTGCCTAGCTCATACCAAAATCTGGACTCCAAAAAGGAAAGTAGGTGTTCAGAATAAACCACATTTATAAATAATAGCTCTAGTGGCAGTGAGAAGATTCCTGAAGTCCAAGTTTTCAAATGCCAGGCTTGCACACAGGCCTTTCTAAGGATAGTAGTCTTAGACCTGTTGTGTTAACTCTTTTCTATACAGTGTGTGTATTTGGAGGGGTAAAGTAGAGGGCTTAAGAGAGAATATAAATAGTAAATACTGTATTTAATACTTCAGATGCTGATATGTAGAAAAATAAAAGTTTATAGGAAGTACTGAGTGGGAAGAAGATTGGTGGTTATTTTATATAAAGTGGTCAAGGAACACTGTAGGCTTAACTTTTAAACTCTATCCATTATTTCTCACCACCTCCACTGCTACTGTCTCGCATCTGGAGTGATGCAGTACCACTAACTGCTCTCCACGCACGCTCACCACCTGCTTCATCCCCACTCCTAGTTGTTTAAACTGTAAAGTCACAACAACAACAGCTTACTGTTCTAAACCTTCCAATGGCTTCTTAACTCATTCACAGTAAAAATCCATTCCTTACAATGGTCTATAAAGCTATAAAAATCTACCCCTTCTATGCAGCAGCAGTAGTACAGTCAAGGGAAGATTTGCTGTCAAGGTGTCATTTTATCAGAGGTCAGACTCCAAGGGGTTTAACCTAAGCAGTTGAAAGGATAGAGATGGGGAAGATTGTAAACTAAGTTTGGGGGTGGGACAGGTGCCAAGTTTAAAACATGGTAAGTTTGGGGTGTTATATATACAACCCTGAGGAAATGTTGACTAGATAACTTGATACAGTTCTGGAAGTAATCCAAGCTGAAGATAATAGATTTGCGAGTTGTCAGCTTATAGTAATTTTTTAAAGCTGTAAGGGTGAGATCACCTAGGAAATGAATATCCAGAGAGGAGAAGTCATAGGACTCAGTCTGGTATACTATTTAGGATTTGGGTAGACGATTAGTATCAATGCCTGTTCTAATCATCTACCCAACCTCTAAACATTATACTAGGTGCTTAATAAATATTAAATGAATTTTTCATGAAAATAACTAGGATGAGGAGGAACAGCCAGTGAGGAAGGAGGAGAACCAAAAGACATTGGTGTCTTGGAAGTGATGCAAACAAAGTGTTTGAAGAGGAGAGGAGTGATCATCTAGGTTAAATATTGATGTCAAGGAAGAGCAGTTTTTGTTGTTGGGGAGGAACAAAAAACCTGTTGGGAGTGAGTTGAGGAGAGTGGATACAGACAAAAACTGAATATCTTTTAAATATATATATGTATTTACAAAATAAAATGAATAATACTTGTAATGGCTTGCAGTACAGATATTTTTTAATGGAATCATTCAGATTGTTTATCAACAAGTTTGCT